CCCCGGGAGCGCCCGGGCGGGCGGCGATGGACGAGCCGCTCTGCTGCTGCGAGTACGTGGACCGGCGGGGCCAGCGCAGCCACCTGGCGGCGTGCTGCTGCGACTGCCAGGAGCTGGACGAGGGCTGCGACAGGTACCGGCACCGCGACCCCCCGGGGGCCGCCCAGCTGCCGAATCCCGCGGCGGTGTCCCCGCCCTGAGGGCAGCGGGACTGCGACCCGCTTCCCGGGAAACTTGTCGGGAGGGAGGGCAGGGGGAGGCGCCGGGAGCGGGGCAGGGCAGGGGAAGGGCACGGGGAGCGCGGTGCCCCGGTGCCAGCCGGCGCTGTGCTTCCCCGCTCCATAGGTGGCTGGCGTGCAAGTCCCTGCCCCCGGGAGCGCTGGAGAGCATCGCCGACACCATCGCGGACCGGCTGCGGGTCCCGTGGTTCTCGGGGGCCGTGAAGATCAACGTGAGCCTCGTGCCGCCGCTCGTCCTGCTGCCCGTGCTGCTCCACGTTGCCGCCCTGCACTTCCTGCTGGGGCTCCTCGTCCTGACGTCCCTGCCCGTGGTGGTGCTCTGGTACTACTATCTCACCCACCGGAGGAAGGAGCGGACCCTCTTCTTCTTGAGCCTGGGGCTCTTCTCCCTGGGCTACATGTACTATGTGTTCCTCCAGGAGGTGGTTCCCCGGGGCCACGTGCAGCATTCCCAAGTGGTCGCTCTCACCTGCGGGTTAATCCTTATGCTCGCAGCGTTGTCTCGAGCCAAGAAAGACCCTGGCTACCTTCCCATTCCAGCAGGCAATGAGAAGCCATCGCACCAGGTCTTGCCCAACAGGAGTGTTAGAGGGAGCTCCAGCGGGCTCCATGGTGCTGCCAGCAGTCGTGCTGTGAATGGGGAGGCCAAAGGCTATACCAGGATGGCAGCTGATGAGCCAGAAGGTGTGAAAAAGGACTGGTGCACCAAATGCCAGCTGGTCAGGCCAGCCCGAGCAGGGCACTGCAGGCTTTGTGGCAGGTGTGTAAGAAGGCTGGACCATCACTGCGTCTGGTAGGTTTTGCACTGCTGAGGCTACGCGTGTTCTCTCTCTGAGTTCCCCCCTTTCTAGAGTTAGCTTCTTTTTGTACAGTCCCTGTCAAACAGGGTCGCTTTTGCTATGTGCAAGACCTGGGAACATTCTTTAAATATAAAAAGCTTTGTATTTCCCCTTTAAAGAACAGTTAGAAGCACTGTTTATTCTAAGTGGGTTGACCTGATAGCTAATAATTTCTACAGCATGCTTCAGAATTGCCTTTAGTTTTCTACTGGCTTTCATCACTCTGGGGTTTTTTTTTTGGTTATTAGTACTCTCCTGGGGGGAGGGAACTCAAAACTGCCTGTGTGCATGCAGTGCTGGAAGGAGCACTGGAGTAAGGGGTATGATGGTATGATCATACCCTACAAAGAGCAGTAGGGTATGACGTGTCTCAGCAAAGGATAAACTTGCTAAAAACTTGAGGCAAACAGTCTGCTGCCAGTCTATTGACTTGTGCTTATAACTTTTCTATAAAAAGCTCTAAAGCTTCTTTGAACATATTTCAAAGTTCTTAGCCTGTGTTGTATTGAAGCACCTTGGAAATTAGGTTCTCTGACAGCTGGAGGGAGGGAGGAGGAAAGAGGAGACAGTTTCTTTTCTTTTTTTAAGCAAAGTAATCTCTTCTTTCCTTTTGGAGGATTAACAGCTGCGTAGGGGAGCAGAACCATCAAGCATTCATCCTTGCACTCTCCTTCTTCATGCTCACCTCTGTGTATGGGATTATGTTGACCCTGCACACCGTCTGTAGGGGCCAGACTCCATTTGTGGCATTGTTCTACTGCCCTGGGGCCTATTCTGACTACAGGTGAGATGTCTGGGAGAGAGCTGGGGTGGGAACAGGTTTGGTCAGGCAGCTTAGCTCCTGTTAGCTGTCAAACCTGACCAAAAAGTGCTCCCTAAAAAACTTTGGAAAGCAAAGGTACATCTCTGCTTTTGCCAAGGTAGGCAGCCTGAGACTTGGAGAGAGCTCACCATTTATTTGGAAAAAGTTGTTGGAGGAGCTGTGATTTGACGTATTTATTTGTTGTGTCTTCTGTAGATACACCTTTAAATGTGTGTCCCCAGATGAAGGTAACAACAGTCAAGAATCCACATGCTATCTCTCCCTCTCATTCCTCCCTGTTTATCAAGTGATTGTCCCTCCCAGTTGTCTGTTTAGAACAGACAGCATCAACATGCCTTATTCAGCAGGGAAGGTGCTGAGAACTGTTGGACACGAGTTCAGAAACCAGCACTACCACTGATGAGCAGAGCATAGGGCTGGTGAACAAGTGACTCTACCTTCCTCTGTACTCCATCTCATGACCTGTTGAGTGTGAGCATCCTTGTGTTCTTTACAGCAGGAAGAATAAAGAGCTAGGTTGTGAGATAGCAATATGCAGGAGTAACTCTGGTAGCACTAAAAGCCCTCATTAAGTGAGTCCTGAAGCTTTAATTTTGAGAAAGCCTTTAAGGATTATCTGATGAAAGCAGCAAAGTGAGATCACTGTGGCAGATGTAGACAGGGATTTGAAAGGATAGTGATTACCAGGGAAAGTCACTCTAAAACAGCTGCTCCAAAACTAAATGGCTTCCTTCCCATCTTTTTCCCTGCTGCCAGCTCTGCTCTGTCGTTCACCTGTGTATGGTACTGTGCCATTGTAACAGCTGGCATGGGATACATCCTCCTCATCCAGCTGTTGAACATCAGCTACAACGTGACCGAGAGGGAAGCTCGGCTGGCTCTGCGGGACAACACTGGGCGCAGACTCCTGGGTGGGTTAGTGATAGACACTGGCCAGTATAACAGGGGGTTCCTATGCAACTGGGGCCATTTCCTGAGCCTGGGGTCTTCTCCTCCACAGCGCTCTGCCGAAGACATCGTGTGATCATCCCTCTTTCTGCAGATGATGTTGACTGACTCTTTTTAGCAGGGGAGCGGCCCCTTCCACTGGGACTCCTTTCTCGCACACCCTTCCTTCGTGGGCGGTGTATGGGCTACCTTGTCCCCCCACTGACAACATCAGAGGTTTTCCCAGGAGGAATGGTTGGTTCTTCATGTGCTGTCAGCCAGCAATAGGATGCACAAAGCAGTAAGCCATATGCACAAACATGGAGAGAAGGAGCCTGCTGCTGCCTTTTACCACTGTGGGAAACAGGAAGAAGAGCACAAGATTTTGAGAACTTGAGCTTTCATTAGGTGTGAACCCTGGCATCAAGAGGAACCCACTGCTGGGCTTCAGAGCATGCACTGGTTCCTGCAAAGGTGGAGGAATCCCTGGTTTGTGCCTACATGCAGCATTTTGGAGATGTCAGGAGGATGAACTTTGAATACAGATAACAGATGGACCCCTGCAGAAGCCAGGCTGTTTGGCTAAAAGAGACTGTCTAGGCAGTCACTGGGCAGTGCTCTCCTCTCTGGTGCATTTATTTGTTTTTACTATCTCTTATTCCATCCAGCTGTGTACATGCTTCTATTAAGTGCCTTTGTGAGCTACATTCCTCTAGGGCTGGATCTGTGCTGGTTTGAAGGCTTGGCTCATCTCCTTCAAAGTGTTTTTGCTCTGATTATGGATTGTGACTTGAAACAGGGGGTAAATATACCAAGGAGATGTTTTGAAGCAATACGCAACAGTGAACTCTGAGGGCAAAACAGGAGTGCTGTCTGTCTAGTGTTACTGTAGCTTTATGGAAGTTACCTTTCCCCCTCCATCATGGGATAAGGCAGTCTGTGGGAGAGTAGGCAGTCCTACTAAATGTTTTGGTAGGTAGCATTTGGTCAGTTGTGTTGCTAATAACGTAGTGATCCCATGTGCCCTCAACCCAGTTACTGTGAACTACCTGACTGTAGATCTGTTTTCTCAAGCCAAGAAGCCAAGGAACAGATCAGCCTCTGCGTATGTAGGGAGAGGAAGAGGATGTGTTGGAGGTCTCTGTTTTGGGGATAGATGACCTGTACTGGCAGGTGAATGTTAACGTGTTGAATGTGCTCTGCAAGAATGCCATTTGTTTCTCATTAGCCTAGAACTGTATTATTGCCTGGACTTGAGCTTCAGCTGAAATAACAAGGTTTTGATGGAAAGGGTTTCTGGTTTTTTGTGTCTGGAATTTATTATTACTTTTTGTTTTAAACCCTTTATGTGTGCTGTAGGCCCTGCAGTGAAAAGTCTGGCTGGAAGAGCTGGAGACCATAGCACTAGAGTTACATGTTGGAACTAAGATGCAGAAGCAGAGATAAGAGCCTTGTCCTGGCTACTGATGTTTTTAGGTGTGTGTGCAGGAGGCACAGATCACGCCTGCTCCTGACTCCATTTGCATGTCAGGCAGCTGGGGGATGTTGGCAGAGTGATGCAAATTCTGTGTGCTGTTGTGCATTAGCTTTGAAGAATGGATGGACTGTATGTGGTGCCAAAAGAAAGCAGGGTTGGGGGCGTCCCTTAAGATCCCTGCTCTGTTTGGTGTGTATGCTCTTGATTACGTGTCCCAGTTTAATGTAGAGACCGTGTCCCTCTTTGCACTGTTTGGTTTCCTTAAGTGGCACTTTCCATAACCAGCAGATAATGGATGAGCAGCTGCCCTTGGAATATGTCTGTGCAGAGTTACTGAGTTTCCCTTATTTCCTCTTACCCTCTGGTCATCCAGTGAGCAATCCTTTTTAAGTAGGTAAAGAGACACCTCTCTTGCTTCCTGCCTCTAACCAAATACACTGAGAGGTTTCTGACTGCTTCCCTGGCCCTAATGTGAATAAAAAGACACCCAGCTAGACTGTACAGACTGTTCCTCTACAACCTTCTGTTTGGTTGTTGGAGCCTGTCCCTAGGAGTACAAATTGACACAAAGTCCATGTTTCCACATGAGTTTTCTGTAAATGTTTCCATGGCACATATGCATTTTGTGATGCCTGCTGAGATGAACTGGAGCTTGGCAACCCTGGAAACAAGGATGCTGTGGGCTAGGAGGTTTGTGATCTTAGATTTCATCCTGCTGACGCTAGGGAATATGAGGCAGAATGACTTCTTGGGCTAAAGGAACCCCTGCAGTGGAGACAGCCAACTTCTCTGTCCCTGTGTGCACAGAAATCAGTCATGTGCCCACGAACTGAACAGGCTCTGGGAGCATTTGCAGTTTTGAGACAAGTGGTTTCTCAGAGTCCTGCTACTCCTGGCTGGGAGAAAGCAGAGCAGGTCGCAGATCATTTCCCTGGCAGCGCTCACCCTGTGGTGCTCAATTTCTCCTACAGGCAGAGATTCCTTGCTACCTTGCAGCCTGTATGTCAGTGTAGCCTTGTCCCAGTGCTTGCACTGAGACTCTCTGTGCTGTTCTCTCAGGCAGCATGGATTTTGGAGTGCAGATTAGGAATGGAGGACCTGGGACTAATGTAACCATTCCATATGTTGTTCAAGCTTGCTCAAGTACAGTGAGGGCTAAGTGCTAAAGTAAATTTTATTTTTGCACTTCAGGGGGAACTGAAACTATTCGGGATACTTAAAACCCCAGCCTTGCAACCTTTTTCTAGGAGGAGAACGCAGTGCTGATTCCCCAGTGAACAGGAAATTCAGGTGGCTGTAATCTGCATAGCAATGGTGACTTAAATGGCATGTCTTCTTCTTGGGAGGATTTACCTTGTGAATGCCTTGGGAGATGGGAAGCATAAAGTAACATGATATATCTAAAAGGCATCTTAAAAAGGATGGATACTTTGTAGCTCTCCTTTTAACAGCCCTGAGAATTAGCAGGAAACACTTGAAGGGCAACTCTCCCTTTTGTAGTTATAGCAAGGGCAAACTGTTGTGATCTGGTGCACTAAAGGACAATTTTTTTTTCTGAGTAACTTTTTGCCGAGCTTATTGACCACACTGGTAGAAAAATGTTAAAATCTAGGCTTAGTCAGTCCTTGGGCTCGCTGTGTTAATAGCTGCCTAGATCCGTGCTGCCTGGGGGTTGGAGCAGTGGGAACAGCCTGCATTGGACAGGTGACTTGTGGGTCGTGTGTGGCATTCTTGAGGGGAGCACCAGTGTCTTACCTGTAAAACTGCATGCCTGGCAGTGCAGAAAACCTTACCCTGCTGACCCTTGAAAAGTTTTCTCTGTGTAAGAGAGGACCTAGAGCTGATCAGCAGCAGGGAAGGATTTTGGTAATAGCTAGCCCATAGTTGGAAATTAGTTTATCCTGCTTTAACCATGACCTTTTAAGAGGCATTTGATGTTTCACAAATAGTGTGGACTTTGCAGACCAGGCAGCTTTTAAAGGGCCATGGTTCTGATGTTGCTGCTGTTGTAGTGTTAAACCCTCCGTGTCCAAATGCCAGCACCCTACTGTTTGGTGACTGTAGTAAGAACTGTGCACCATTAGATACAGCCTGTAAACAGTGGCTTGGCACTCTTTAACTGTGTCTTCCTGCATTGTGGTTTTTTGTAGGCAAGTCACAGGTCCCCACATCGACTGTTTCTCCATTTAACTTGTCCTTAAATGACAGAAGTCACTGGTGAGCCTGAGCTGGTGCTGCTTGTGACTCCTAATCACATTTCAGCCTTCATGCTATGATGGTGCTTTTTTTTCCTTTCAAAGTAGGTTGCTTTCAAGTGTCTTAATGAAACCATTTGCTGTAAAATTTCTTCTGAAGTTAAAATGGATACTGCCTCACTGCCTAATGTCTTAATAATGTGCTTGGTTTTTTCCTTCTATATGAATGTATATTGCCTCATTAGGGCAGAAAGCGTGTGTGATTATGGATGTGTTTTCATGTATTCCTTTCAGTGAAAAATTTTACAGTTACCTAGGATTCTTTTCCCCACTACCAGGATGTTTGGACAGCAAAAATCTTTCTGCGGACAGGTGAAGTTCTTTCTGAAATGTGGGAATTCAGCCTCCCAAGATCTTGTCTTTATGGAACTCCTCTAAGGATGATGTGAAGAGCAATGGGCTCTGGAGAGTGGGATGTTTTGGGGCTTTTTTTTAACCTAAGCTTGAAGAAGAAACTGTGAAACATTTGTGAGCTTTTTTTGAAAGGACTGGTGTGTGTGTGTATGTATTTGTCTATTTTGCATCATATTCAGTGTTTCCAAATGGATACAATTAGGACTCAAAATAAATTATTGGAAATGACCTGTGGAGTGGCCTGTTGATTTATGCCCACACACTCAGCCAAGCCAAATGACCAAAAGCTGCTGTCATCTCATGGCTATTTAGCTGGGAGCTGGACTTGAGAATAAGGCAGCAACAGACTAAGGAAAAGTTAGGAAACAAGTTCTGCAAAAGTTGACCTTTGGGTTTGTTGGTGTTGGGATGAAACAGACCTGCTAGCAGTTCTCACCATCCTGGAAACCAGGCATATTCTCCTGCAGTAGGAATTTGAATGGGGATCTTTCATCTAATGAGCAATCCATTATCATTATCTGATCCAGAACCCCCAAAAGGAACAATCTCTTACTTTAAACCCTTTTCTGAGCCGTATTTGGAAATGACATGGATATTCTCCATGTAGGTAGTGGGAAGAGATATAGCCTTTGATTCTGTTGGTATCTTGGGACAGCTGCTGAAAGGCAGGATGACTTTTAATGAGTAGAATCACAGGTGCCTTTGACTGTTCCAGAGCTCTGCTTTGATTTGCCTGGGTAGCACTTCTCTCTGCTGTTTAGCTGTTCCTCTTTGAAGATTACTTTGTGCTTGCTGACAGCAAGGACCTTGTGCTAGCAGTGAACCAGGATTTTAGTTAGGTGAGAGTGGTGTGTGCAGCAGTGTCAGACTTCTGACACCCAAGGAGTGCCCAGCTTCTTTAACTCCAGTGCTGTTAATGGGGACATGTGAAACTTCTGTTCCTCTCAGCTTTTTTCATGAGCTTTTCCTCTCATGGCTTGTCATGTTGTCCCTGCAGAGCCACAGGAGTGGCAGCTCCTGTGCTGCTGTGGCTGGTATCCATAATGCCTATCAGGTCTGTAAAGATGTGAGCTGTGGATCACATTGCAGTGGTTCATGGACCCTTCCCAGGCTAATTATTGTGTCCCACCTCGCCTGGGGGGAGCAGAGGGAGTTAATACTTCAGGCACTGTTTCCCAGTATGAGCTGGGCCTGGGAGACTTTGAAGAGACTGGTATACAGATTTAATAAGAACCTGTGGTCAAGCTTTTTGGGAAACTCTGTAAGAACTCTGGAGGGCAGGTGTCAGCAGAGGATGGGGAGTTTGCAATTACTTCAGGGTTCTGCATTTGCTCTTGTATCAAAGTGAAAATCCTCCCCTCTCTCCCTGTGCAGGAGAAGGAAAGTCTGGCTTTGCAGCCACCTCCCTCTCTTGCTAAGAAAAGCAAGGAGCTGACAGGCAGGAGCGTGCCTGAGCTGTGAGAGTGTGGGCTGATGACCAGCATTAAGGCATCGACATCTGCATCTATCCAAGTGCTGGAGCAGGAGGAATGCTCTGGCACAGCTGCAGGCTGAAGCGGTTTCCTTGGTCTGATATGGCTCTCTTAAATCTCAACCTCCTGCTGGAGCTTCAATTTGCAAAACACTATCATTATGCCAGGGATTTTAGAGTATCCTGTGCAGTATCTCAATGGCATCATCTGGCACAGCCTTCCAAGGAGGTTTGAGTTGTTTTGGCCAAGTGTGGATTGAATGGAGAAGTCAAGCGGCTTCTTATCTCTGCTTTGATTCAGACCACGTTCAGCATGAAGGTACCTGATCCCCAAACATCATCTCTCTTCCATAGCTGGATCCGACTGAGGCTTTAGCTCCATGCTTGCATTGGCAGTAGGCAAGGGCAGAGTTGTCAAATCCCAGCTCCTCCTGGATCATCTTCTGCCTTCTTGCTTCTGAAACTGTCCAGCCAAGGAACATCTCGCCAGGATAATCTTTCAAAGCTACTAGGAATATAAGAAAACCCTGGAAGGTGAGAGTATTGGAGACTAAGGCCAGTTTCAAAAGTGTTGACTGTACTTCAAGTTCTTAGGGGGGAACTATGCTGCACATAAGCAGCATTACTTTCATGGATGGTGAGTGGGCACTGAGATGAGTGGGAGCTGTTGGGCCTTGAGGACAAAATATGCATTGCTGGGGAAAGAATCTGCAGTTTAGAAGACTGGATGAACCCCTGAGTAGCCAGTGGTTTGGGGTACCCTTTTAGCTGTGAGAGATGTAGATTCAACCCCTGCTCAGCCTGTTGCTGGAGTCAAGACCGGGCAGCATGTGGGTCCATCTACTCTACTACTCCATACTCCCTTACAGCTGCAGGTGTCCTGTCTCCAGCTCTCTGTAATGCTGCCTTCCCTCCTCCAGTTGAGGAAGGATGTGACTGTCTTTGTCCTCTAGGTCACTATCCTGCTTACGCCGTGAATCCGGATGGAAGGTGGGATGGAGACTTTCTTTGCTGTGTTTGTTGTCAAGCCTCACTAAGGAGGAAGTGAACTTGGGAAAAGGCCACCAGTAAAATGGGAGCATAAGGGCTGGCCCAGAGGTATTCCAGGAGCTTGTTAGGCTGTACGTGGCAGAGGCTTCCAAAGGGGAGGATTGTACTAAGAGAAAGTGGATTGCTGTGCTGCCACAGCATGCTGCTGTTAGCACCAGGTGTATCTGCTGGCTGCACTGGGGCATTATTTGGGTAGCTCAGCCCCCAGCTCTGCTTCTCCCTGCCTGTTTGGCTCAGGGAGAAAAACACTACCCTTCTGCAGTGCCTGTTCCTCGCTGCAAGACGAGTTATTCAGCCCTCTCTCAGCTTGTCACTTCCTCTCACAATCTGCCTTTGAATGTAGCCAGATGGTCTGTACTCGCCCACACTCCATGCAGGCACCTTCAGCTCCCTGAACTTGGATAATGTGCTCGTCTGACCTGCTGGTGATCAGGTTTGTAAAGAGCCTTTAGGAGATGGTAAACGTTCACGTGTTGTAGAGGATGGATGTGGGAGAGAACCTGGGAGTGACAGTTGTTTTCAGACCTGCACCAAGAGCCTGCTTGACAGCCTGGCATGTGTGGGCAGGGAGGGTCTTTGGCCCCATCCCTGTGAGCTCTCCACGTGGACAAATTCCCAAAACTAAAGCTCTGGAGCCTGTTGCTGCACTTGGGCACCTGACCTATCCTATGCAGGTCATCTTTATCTGTAGTGCTTAGTGCTGGTATAGGTTCCTGACCCTGGACTTCTGTTTAGAGCCATTCAGCCAACTTCAAACACAGAATCTGCACCACCAGCTCAGTTGTGTTCATTTCAGATTTGGGTTTATTGGAAACTTTCAGTGCTTATACGGCTTTTTCAAATGATCTGATACAACATAACAGTAGACTGTTGTCTTCTCTTCCTGGTGTTACTCAAATGCTTCCTCTACTGCCAAATGCTTTTGGAGAGAGCTTTGCCTATCTTATGAGGGGGAAGTGATTCCATCTTCCTGCCCTTATGCTGTTGCTAAGACATTCTGTATCTTAACGGCATTACACTGTCTGCATTATGCTGCAGGTTCAGGTTAAGTAAGAAACCTTCATTTTAATCATGTTAGCTTTAGCTTATATAAAAAACACATCTGCCTTTTTCTTGGATTTTTGTCTTTTTGTCTTTGAAGTACTGGATCAAGTGAAACATCCCAGACAGACTTGCACAATACACCCTGAAATACTACAGTTAAACAGTTTGAGAAGTGTTTAAATTACAAGACAATGAGGCTCATAAACTTGGAATCACCACTTGCCACCACAGTCAAAGCACTGTGCTTGTGAACTGGCCAGTGCTGCCAGCAAGGTAGTCCCTCAAAAAAGAATCCAGGTTTTAGATTATCCATATGCCATGCAATGATCTGGATCATTAGCAAATATGGTTTGCAGAAACAGCTCTTCCCCCTCCTCCTCCCATCCAAACTTTTGTGGCACAGTTAGCCAGAAACTGTGCTCTGGGTGGCCAAGTTTGCAGCAGTGGTTGGGGGTCAGCTGACAGTCAAGTCTGTCTGCTCTCAGAGCGAGCTCTCACTTATAGAGTACTGGCAACAGAAATGCACCAGGTTACTGCTTAAGGAAAAAGTGGTGCAGTTCAGTCCTGTGCTTCCTTTGGCGGAGGACTCCTGTTAGCGCCGCAGCCCTGTGTGTGGAAATGGCCTTGGCCTCAAACACACCCCATGCTAGACTTTGGTTACCTAGGCTTCACAGCCACCAGGCAAGACACCCTTACAGAGGCTTCACGTGAGGAGCTTGTGGGGAATGACCCTGTGAAGTGCAAAGTGAAACTGTCAGATAAGCTTCCATATATGCTTAGTTTACAACAACAGTGACTGCAGGGAGCTTTGTTTGGCTGTCACTTGGCAGGCCTTCTCCTTGGACTTGTGTCAGTCAGCAGGGAGATAGCACTGAACAGAACTGGTTGTTTGTCTCCCTTCCATCTCCTTTGACTCTCTTTTGTCAGGTTTGGAAGTTGGGGAGAATTTCAGCTACTCTCCTCCGTAGCTGGTTTCTCCTTTCTTCTCTCTCCCTTTCCTTTTTCATCAGCAATCGGTACTGCCTCCATGCCTTGAATGCATTCAGTATAAGTCTCCTTAAAGAAATTAGAGACAAAAGGAACAAAGTGACAATATGCAGATGTGTACAAAATACAACAGGTAACAAAAAGATGACTTCTGTTTGAGGGGGGAACTCCCCTAAAACAGCTGTGGGATATAGTCCTTCTGCTGTTAGTCAGGGCTGTGACATGTTAAGCATCTAGGTGCAGATCACTCCATTGATATGTCAGTCATGCTGGGGAAAAATAACACATTGCCCTTTTCTACTCCTCTCCACCAAGAATTTTGCTCCTCCCTCCAACAGAATTCATTAGCTGCTGTTGGCTTAGCACTCTGAACAGGAAAGGTGTTTCTAGAAGAATAAACAGAGCCTCTGCAAGAAGTTTCTTCAGGAAAAATACAGGCTCATTTGGTCCAGACCAACCCTTTGGGAGTACAGGCAGCTGGGTTCCAATTCTTACCTGATTTTAATCACCCCATCAAAGATGCCCTGCCCTGGCTTCCCATATGGGTGATAGGGAATAACAGTCCTGTCTAAAGAATAGTTTGCTATGACAATGTCTGAACTGCCTTTTACCAGTGAGTGGAGGAAGAGGTAATGAGGAACAACAGGTGATTACGCTCCTAATAGGAGGTCATATGTAGAATGAACCCAGTATCTTCCTGCATCTGAATTTCTCCTGGTTCCTCCAGTTTGCTGGCTTGTTAATGTTAAATCATGCACCGCTGGGATCTTACTGACACAGCAAGCTAGAACAGGTTTGCTTTACTACACAAGAGGTGAATTTAATTTAATTTTTCTTCGAAGGTGCTGCAGATCCTGTTTGGGCTATGTACAGACACAACTTATTCATGACTGCATGCAGCTAACATGCTTTCATAGTGAGGCAGGTGAACATGCTTCAGTTTTCTGCTGAACTTTGACAATAGCTTTTTCTTCCTGTTAAAATGCATTTTATGGGACAAGGAATGGACTGGGTGTGTCCAACTCCAGTCATGACTGGTAGAACTATCTGTTTTAGTTCTCACTGCCAAGTCAGGCTGACGACAGCACAAATTGAAAGACTCCTTAAGTCGGATTTATAGTTGATCAACTTTGGATTTGTGAACTAAATCATCTGCTGTGGACAAAACAGTACTATGTAATTCCTACACAATCATTTGGCTTGCTATAATTGTACTTAAAGATTTTCCTAAGGCAGCTTTTAGCAGAAGCTGCATGGTCAGATCTGTTAATCAGCTTAGAAAGTTTCAGCTACTTATCTGCTTTCACTGTATTCTCTTTCAGCAGATTTAAAAGTCCTGTGAAGGGTACCACTACATTTTGTTTTCCAGGTTGCATGGAAACTTAGCATAAACCTCTGCTATGTTTGTCCATATTACAGAAGCAAAATACCAGCAGTATAGAACCTGTTTCATGTGCTCTTGGGGAGCAGATTACTGACCTGTCAAAAGTAATCCCTGAAATAGTCTATTGGTATATTAAACCTAAGTAAAAAGAACTGCTGCTGAGGGTGTATGCTTACTTGTTACTGTGTTCAGTAGCAATCTTCAGCTTCTCCCATAATGTCCTTTTTTCCTCCATGATAAGATCAAGCCATGCCCGCAAGTACTTCCTCATGAGGCAGGCTGCATGGAAGGCACTCGCTCTCTCCTCCTGAGTGGAGAGATAATCCTTGTACTAGGGAAGGAGGACGACAGAGAAACAGGTAAGAATAGCTTCTTTTTTTTTTCCCCTCCTCTCTCTCCCAACCTCTGGCCCAATAAACAGAGACAGAGCAGTGGTGAGACTGTGGCAGTGAAGAGTTGTGGGCACAGGAGAGGAGGAAAATCAGCAGGGTTAGAGAGTGCAAAGGTGGAGGAGTAGTGTGTAGGAGAAAATTCTGGGTGGAAGAGAATGATGGAGAGTGAAAACCTGAAAGTGATCTCTAGAGAAGGGAATATGTTGCTGGAATGGAGACAGTATAACTCAGCAAAAGTTGTACTACAGGTGTGTGAAGTCAGGAGGGTGTGTTGAGGGGAAACTGTGGCAGCAGCCAGCTCTCTTGGTATCATTTCTCCACTGTGGTGCAGGCCAACCTTTAGCCAGCTCCTGAAGCCCCATCTCAGTAGCATATGGGAATAGAAGTCCTCAGCCTGAGACATCTTCTCCATGAGACTCTGCTGGGTGTCCTGAAGCCAAGTCATCAGGCATTTCCTCTGCAGGCCCAAGCAGTGGTACCTTTGTGCCATCTGAGTGAAGACAGCAGAGACAGCAGCTGGTTACTTGGACTACTGACTACGTAAGTATAAAGCTACAGAAAACCAGATGCACTAGAAAATCAACTCAGCTTTTTGGGGCCCCCAAAATGCAGATGTCTGACAGCTGGAATAACCCCCCCCACACACAAAGAGGGGTCAGCATAAAGAACAAATCCAGTCTATCAGGCCACTGCTGTCACTTCTAGAGAATATCCTTTTGAATTAGATGCTCAGTTTAACGTATTGTAAATGGAGCAGAGGCAGGGCCTGTAGCAGTTTAGGCCAACCCTGTCCATAATGCTGACCAGCAGGGTGGACATATGGAGCAGCTTGTATCCCTCTGCTTCTTCCCAGCTGGAGGCCTGTGTGCATTTGGTGAACTACTGTGAGTAGCTCCAGTTCCAGTGACTTCAATGGATGCTTGCCAGCTTAGCCCTGGGCTCTGGCTAAATCTTCAGGATATGGCTGAGTGTTAGTGTACCTCTGGTAAGGCACATCGATCCAGTCACGTACAGAAATGTTTTATTTGCAATGTTCATGCATCAAGGTCTCAGAACTGTTCTGCACTGAAGGATATGGACAGGATAGAATAGATTGCTGGATCATCACCTGTAGTGTCCTGCCACTAGCAGTGGCCAACTCTGCGCCAGCAGCAACTCCAGAGACAGGGAAAGAAAGCCCTAATGATAGACTGGGGTCAACAACTAACTACAGTGGCTTGGTGGTGTCTTACTGATTAGCTTTGCTGTGGAGTAACAGAACTGACAGGCTCGTGTCATATAACTTCAATTTAATTTTTTGGCCATATCACACTAACTTACCCTGCGTTATTGGCATCAAATCATATGGCAGTTAGTACTGCAGACAAGTGGAGGCTAACAAAAGATGACTTCTCAACAGATTGAAATGCTTTCCTTTCTCTGTCCTTTTGGTTCCTGTTTAATCAGCTATAAATGAGGATGCCACCCTTGTGGGACTTGATGACTTCTCATGATTATTGTCAGATGGGCTGATTTAAAGAGCTAATATAGGGCAGGGTGTGCAGGGAGAATTTTTGCTTTTTCCGTCTCTACCCAGTTTAAAAGCCTATTAAGGCTTCTGCTAAGTGCTGCATCTAGGAAGCAGCACTTTTTCCATTCCTTCCGTGGCACCAGTCATTTCCTTTATCCTTAGCACTTACCACCAGGTTTTCCTTGGCTTGCTCCCTCAGCCTTTTCCATGGCACTATTCCCAGCTTTCTGAGCAGGACCTTCTCATAGTGATCTTTAGCCTTTTTCTGGAGCTGTTGCTCTTTCTCCAGCCTCCTCTGCTTCTCCAGTTCTTTCTGCAATACAAAAAGCAGTAGTTTTAATTCCCTCAGGATGAAGAGGATGTTAAGCAATTACAATAGATTATCATATCGGAGCATGAGGTTCTGACCTGACAGGAAATGGGGATCTGCATCATCTTTAGGAGTGCAGATCAGAGATGACCCCATGTACTAGAACCTGTGTTTGAAAGCAAACTGTCTTGAAAATTCTCCTGGGAGATGATGGTGTTTCTGAACACTTCATTGGGCCACGTATCAGCACTGCAGTTTGGCACTACTGTAGCAGACATGTCATCTGTGGCTACCAGGAGGGCTGATGTAGCAGGAACCTCCTTTTATGGACCTCCATCCATGTGGGGCAGGCTGATTTAGTGAGTTTGGGGAGTGCAGCTTTCTGTGCTTATAAAACTAGATGGAAAACGTGCCCAAAAATGATTCTGAGTTTATGCATGGACCTTACCACTTAATCTAGCCTATACTGTAGGGGAAGGATGTGGGTATTGTCTAACTATATAATATTACTTTTGACTGATACTTAGGGATTTAGGTCAAACATTCTAAAACACTCAAACCAAGTAGAACAGTAGTTGCAGGTCAAATTCCTATAGGATTTTAAATGTGCTATTTGAGTTATTAGGACAGCTCATTCCAAGTAACAGTAATGAAGTGCAGCTATTCCTAGGCTAGCCCCAATGAGAGGATGGTTCTATTCTTCAGATGGAAAGTCGCCCTTAATATAACTGTCAGGCTTGTTTACTTTTAAATTGTGTATTAGTGACTGGTATCATTGTGTGCACTGGATGGGGAACACAAGTGAAAGGAGCAGTCTGAAAGCAGACTGAACATGCTGCCCCTGTGGAGGCTGATGTGGCTGTATCTCAGCACAGAATGTCCACCCACTGGGGCCTCTAGTCCTGCTTTTGAGACAGACATTATGGTACTTCCTAGAGTGTTTGGTACACAGCCCTTCCCCTAATGTTGTCAAAAAGGGGGAAGGTGGTGAGTCTGTAGAGTAGGTGCTGTGCTCTACCCTCTCTGAGTTCTGTGTGGAACTCTGCTCTACTAATGAAGACCTTCATGTCACATTACTCTGGCTGCTGACCAAGAACTAGTGGGTAATGGCTCTTCCCTATCCCTGCTAAAGAGAGAGAAACAAGTGAGGTGTTTGGTTACCAGCTTCTGCTGCCTTCTCTCCTCCCGTCGTTTTTCCCGCAGAGCTTCCTTTTCCTCGGCCTTCTTCCTCTGTTGCGCTTCCTCTTCAGCCTTCAGCTGGGCCTTAAAATGGAGAAAGGTGAAATTTAATTTGATTCATATGACCTTTATGGTGAACACAGACCTCTATGCTTCCCTAGTATTCCTCTAGTATTGCCCAGCACCTGAAACTTCAGAAAGAAGCAGACTTTGTCACATATTAAACATGATCTGTGCTCAACAATGAACTGTGGACAGGAAAAAAAAGAGGGACTGTTCTTTTTACTACCTATATCTATCTATCTGTCTATCTATCTTTCTACTACCTATATATATCTTTATCTTTCTTTGCCCTAAGTTATAGTATTTGTCCACTCTTCCCCTAAAAAAATGTAAACTGTACACCAAGTCATTAATTGGTAACTTGATCACTGAAGTCAGTTCTGAATCCCTGGGCTCTGTTCTCAAGTTTCATTTCTACAAGCAAAGCAGCATTACAGGTACCCAAATATTTCTTTCCCCAAACACTGAAAATCAAAGTTGTCTTGCTTCAGTACTATCATATTTGGCACAATATTCTTCTCTGAGTATTTATCTCCTCTCCTTGCAAACCACACTCTGCTCTCATTTCACAAAGCTTCTGCTCTTGGTGTACACATCAAAGGCCTAAAACCCAAACCAACCATCATGCAGGATTACCAGGACTGTGCTTGCTTTCCGATCTCTACAATTGTGGCACCTGCAGCTGAGAAAACCTAACCTGAAGTTGTCTGTCCGCTTTATGGTTAAAGTGTTCTGTAAGGCTTGTTTCAGCCTCCTATGTATGTGAATATATCTCTTGCTTGGAGAAAGAGGAAATGCCTGTTGGTTTAGGATCCCAGTTATAAGCTTTCTAATCCTAATGCAACTTACTAGCACTGTTTTCAGTAACACCTTAATACCCTAAAGCTAAGAAGGCTCCTTTATTGGATGTGTATCACAGAATTTGTTTATTAACTATGCAAACATTGTCAGTATCTTCTCTTTTCAACAGAGATTTGGTAGAAAGATGACTTTTACTAGAAGACTGCATGTCCTCAAGCTGCACATGACCAGACAGGAAAGGTAGGGAGGGGAAACCCGCCACTGCCAGGTCCCATCAAGTGGATCTCTGCATGCACTTCCACACTTATCATTCTCAGCAAAGACAAGCTATGGTCATGGGTAGGTGTGAAAAAAGTGTTGGGGGTGGTAAGGGAGGCTGCTTCTAGAACTGCAACTTCAATATGAAGTGTCTGCTCATGATACAGCATGTTCATTGCCATATGCAAAAGCAGCAATAACTACTTCTTTTGATGTGTGATGGACATCTGCTTTCTCACAAATTAAAAAACTCCTCCTTTGGATAAAGGGCTTTTTCTTGGTCGCTGACTCTGGGGTTAAATCAGCATTTCTTGTAACTGGAATGGTGTGAAAGACACTGTATTTCTTTTTCTGCTTCCCTTACCAGTTTTTCCTCTGCTCTTCTTTGTTTGGCTTCCTCTAGTTTCCTCCTCTGTTCTGCCCGCTGAATTGCTCTCTCCTCCATCCCTACAGAAACAGAGGACATAAGGCTTAGTGAAAATAAGCTATGAGACAATGGCAGAAGTTTGGTGCACAAGGATAACCACATCACTCTACTGCCAGGCCCGCACTGCCCTGGCACTGCCTGCACAAAGGGACTTGCCTTCCACTGCCTCTTATGGCTGGCAGTGTCATGAACAAGGAACTTATAAATGCTTATGAGATGACTCAGGACTACTGCAATTACATTCACTCCACCCTCCTTGGTTGACAGTCACAGCCATGAGGCTCAGTTATGAAATAAGCTGTGTTCAAAGAGTTTGTCCCTGTCTTTCCTGATTGAGGGCTGAGGCTCAGGGCACATGATTTAGCAGTGATTGCTGTGAGGTCTCCAGGAAGCTCTAACTGCTTATTTAAAGAGCAATTTCAAGACAGAAAGCATCCTTGTCACAGTGACATAGGGGTATTTGGTCCTGCTAGTGAGAAACTACTGCTTAATGCTTCTTTTGGGAGATAAATTGCAATGCAATGATCTTGCTGGCCATCAGCAAAGGTGTTACAGTGCTGATGTGACCACTCAGAACACACAGTGGAGTTGGGAAGCTGTGCTTGCTTCCTCTGCAGTCACAAAGCACAGGCTGGAGAAATCGATAACTGGGGGCATCAAAGTGTTTTGAACACAATAGGTTTCCTCAGAGTCTTTTCTCCTTCAGTTGTCCCAGGATCCTCTGCCAAGGAAAATCATCCAGTGGTAACTTATTCACTGAAGTTTTGGGAATCTTTAGACAAAAGCACTTGAGGGCTGAAAAATATGCTTACTGTCTCTAAGGTGTACAGAGTTCAGGCAAATCAGAGTGAGTGATGGCTTGGACTAGGTAGCATTGGAGCTCAACACAGACAAAGAAAGGCAACTTCTAATGCCAAACTCAACTTCTAATACCAAACTCTGATGATCCCAAAACTGTTAAAATATCACAATAGTCATATTCCAGACAACCTTTAACGCTGACCATGACAACTAGTGTTTATTGTGTATGTGCTGTTCCAGTGTGGCCAGAGAAAGGGAGATATCTCACAAAAGGAAGAGATCTGAACCTCCTTCCCCAGCCTGGCTACTGTTGTCTCAGAAAACCTTGGGTAGGTACTTAATTCCCTTTGAAATCTCAACACCTCTGTCAAAGTCAGATGAAAATGACTGGTGAGTTTAAGCGTCTCTCGGATGTGTAATGAAGGGAGACTGATGGCAAAAAAACCTGTAGAGCTTCTCTCTCTGGGTCTTGTCACACCAGAAATGATTACAAGCATTTGGAGTAACTGCTACAACAGTGTACTAAGTGTGGATGTAAGGGTCTTGCAGTGACCCATGTTTTACATGACGTGGGCATGAAAACAGCTCACCCTCTCACAGCACTGGTCAGGCTGGGAAAGAGTGTGCTGAGTTTTACTTACATACTACCATCAACCAGCAAAGCTGAGGCAAAGGAAGAGAGACATTTTGAGACAAACTGTTGAGAAAAGCGATTAGAAATGGGTTTTGAACAATACCTTTCAGTATTGGATAAGCTGAGGTCAGCTGGTTGGAGGGCCTCCTGTCTTGCATTGCTACCCCTGTGTTTTCTGGCCCATGAGAATCAGGTGAACTATGAAAGGAAAGAGTTAAGAAATTCATCAATGAATGTGGTCAAATGATGTTTCACACCTACCACCTATGGTCTTGTAGTTTCTGTTCTCCATTTTGCTGCATTTTCATTCTGAATCCCTGATATACCTTTCTTCTGCTTGAAATGGGATTAATGATGCATCCTTGTAAAGAAACTGAGTTCCAGGGCTGCTGTGTGTTCTGAAATACTGAGCTTGATGTTCTCTTTTTTCCTAACTAAAATAAATCCCTGCTGCTACTATGTGTGACATTGGTGTTGCTATTTCTAAGTGGATCCTGTATGGATCACGGAGTGTCAAGCCATTGCAAAAAATGGAGAAGGACAGAGAACTATGGCTAGCCTGATACTATCCTTGAGGTTAAAACACAGCTGAGAGGAAGAGCAGATAGCACTTCTATGACCGAAATGTGCCTGGCACATTCTGGCTCAACTTGAGTGGGAATGAGACATGCTGAGTAACTGACCCTGATTTGTTGAGGGCACATACCTCAAAGGGATTGTATGCTTGCATCTCGATTGTTTTTCCTCTCTGGTTTGAGAAACAGAATTGTCAATCAGCTGGGTTACAGCTGTAGCTTGTGCTGCCTCTTCCTTATCTCTGCTCAGCCTCTGATTTTCCTGCAGCTTAAGGATCAGCTCTTGCTGTTTCTGAAGCTGCTGCCTCTGCTCCTCAATCAGACGTTGCTGGAAGGCGTGACGGTGCTCAAAGCGGCTTCCATAAGTAGGAGATGTCTTTGGACCAAGTGCCTGAAACTGCTGGAGGACAGTAGCTACTTGATTCCTACACACAGCCTGGTCCTGGACACTCAAGGCTGCATGTTTTACAGTAATCTCCCAGACAAATTTGTGTTTTCTGCAGAAATTAGATGTATGAACAGTATCCCAACAAGAGTGGTCTCTGGTCTGATCAGGCTCTTTCTGTATGTTGCAAGTTTCAGTTGGCTGGGGAAAAAAAAAAAGGAAGAAAATTTGGCATTGATTGAAACCAAGTACTTTTCTGCCCTTACTACATAGTGGGTTTTTTAATGCAAATCTAGTGAGATGCCTGAGAAGTAGGGTAATCTCAGCTATGCAATCTTTATTCATTTCCTAGTCAGACCATAGGGGCCCCATTATGCACAAAATGGGAGGCTGTGGGAAAGAACTGTAAGGAGCTCTGTGCCATTTCACTGGGAGGAAGAAATCTTGATCAGGCAAGAGCTTTGGCAGGAATATATCCTGAATATTTTGCTAGGGAGCACATCTTAGGACAGCTTATTTCTGGGGGACTAGCACACTCCTTTTTGTACTATGTTGCTTCCACTCAGCGCTCAGATGGAGAATAAAGGGACAAACAGTTGTTGAAGTGATCTACGTGACTGAATGGTCCCTTTTCAAATGCAAGAGAAGTCTACACAGTGCTGCTTCCTCATGCCTCTTTTCCAGCCTTGATAAATAATACCATGAAACAGATGCACAGTGGGGAATGAGGCTGAGGCTTTTCTGACATGGTCATTCTCTGAAGTGGCATCAGATATAATGTCTGCTTTCTGGTTCCTAGGTCAAACCCCAAATTCAGTCCCATTCTTCCAGCACAAATTTTATCAAAAGAAAAACGGGCCTACTAGGAGAATATAAGCACTGAAGGAAATCAACTTTTGCTGACACTTAAGCAAATGAAAAGCTTCACATGAAATATGTATGTGTGAGCTCTCATGCTGAGATCGGGATACTGCTGTAGTTCAAGTTTTAGAGACAGAAAGAAAGGTCAGGATCCAACCTGACAAATGACAATTTAAGGAAGCAACCTCTTGATTCTTCTCTCCTACCTACTTGTGATGTGCATTATCCTAAAACAGCCAGTGACAACCTTTTTTTTTCCCCACACTTAAATGCCAGAGAGCTGCACTGGCATGAAAAAAATTCTCTTGTCATGCAGTCAAGTTACTCTTTTTAAGTCTAAGCTGCCATCAAAGATGTAACTAATCTCTCAGTAAAAGTGATCTGGGGGTGGGATGCTCATTGCAACTCACAGTACACGAAGGGCTGTTCTCTGGCAGCACTAGAGGTTATTTTTAAAACTCATCCATTGTCCTTCACATCTGCCTCTGATTTTTAGACTTCTCTCCTGAACAGTTGCAGGCAGGTATTGGGGTGTTGCCCTGGGAAAGAAGCCTTGCTCCGGGACAACATGCTCTTTATTTCAGACTGCACGAAAGAAGTACTTTGGAAGAGTCCTGGGATGCCAACAGACAAAACTACGTGGGAAGGATTTACCTTGTCTTGCTGCAAATCTTGATGATGGATTACTTCTGCTGTCCCAGGCTGGTTAACCTCCAGTGGCCTGTGCAGACCACCCTTCCCCTGTGACACAGCCTCCAGCAGCTGTGCCATCTTTCTCTTCGTCTCCTCCCTCTTGATCTGCAGCTCTCGCTTTTCCGTCTCTGCTCGGCTCCAGCGCTGCCAGGCCACGAAGCAGCAGCGCAGGAGCCGTTGCTGGTTATGCTCTGCAGCCAGTTGGTTCTTCCTGAATGTGGAAGAGCTTGTGTTATGACAGGAGTAAGGCTTCTGCCCAGGCACAAAGCCCCATAATTTCCTGAGTCTTTTTGTTGCTTAACTCTGAAGGCCCTCTGAAGCTGTACAGACTTTCTCGAAGGAGTGGGAGGGCAGAAAGGATGCCTGCTATTTTGAATTAAGTTTCCCTAGTTCACATTTTGCCATTCCTATGCCAATCCTGGGCTGTAGGATAGTTGCAAAAGAGGTATCGTGTTCCCTGGCCAGCATAGAGGAAGTGACAGTGTCTCACCACTGAAGCCTGCCAGACACCTGCAACAGCAAAATTTTCTCTGGATGACAGGGAATTCATCCAACAGCCTCCTTAATGAAAGGCACTATCCAAAATGATCGTTGCTATACTACTACTGAAATGGCAAATAAATATATTAATCAGGAATAAATTTGGCAACTCATATTCTCCAGAGTCCAGAGCAAGCCAGGGTGAGATTTCCAGGAAAAATACCTACGGAGAGAATGAGACACAGGCTTGTTGGAAAGGGCTAAAGCTCTTGTTTATATCTGTCCTCCTTTTCATCTGTGCCACAACGCCTCTGGCAGACTGCAGGCAATGTAGCAATTTTCTCCAAAAGCTGCTGTTTCCCTCCTGCTGGCTAACTGACAAGCTCCTTTTACAGTCCCTGATCACTGCTCTGCCCAAATACTGCTGCAGTAGGAGGAATTCCACAGTTTAGGGTCACTACCTGTTTTGATCTTGGAGATGAACTTCCAGTTGCTGTGTCTCCTGCTCTACTTTCTGGGCCCAAGTATAATTTCTCCAGGCTCGCAGGGCCTTCAGTTGGCATCTCCAATCAGCAAGGGCTCTGGCTTTTCCCATTTTGATTCTCTGCTCCAGAATGACTTTCAGCCAAGCAGAGAAATGTCGTTGCAGGCACTGCATGGGAGAGTTTCAGAAAACCAATGAGCAAGATACAGCCAGTCACACAAATGCTGATCCTCTCCGCCCTTCCCCTTATCTGACTTTCTTTTTTAAGATTCTTTTTGGAATCCTCACTTTCAACAATTACTTTGAGGGTAAAGAAGAAGTAATGCAGAGCATGTGCAGGTCTTCTACAAAAAGCAGAAAGTCTAGAAAGACATATCATGTGTCTCTATGCTTTGGAGTGAAATGCACTTAGTTTACCAAGTGTAAAGGAATAAAATGGGTGAGGAATATAGAATTTCTAGAGACTGGGAAGATGTTTCAAAATCTAGAAAATGTCTAAGATGCTACAGCTAATAATGCTTCTGTGAAGAAGTGTTGCTTTTTTAATTTTTTTTTTTTTAACTTAGACAAAAATCAAGACACTTCCTAGAGTGAATTTATGGCATGGCCTCAGCTCATCCTTGTTCCAGTAGGATGCCAAACCTTTCCCCTATTGTGTAATTAGACTCGCTGCCTTTGGGAGTGATTTACATTGTACAGAACAGCAATGTGCTATCTAATCTACCCCATAATTCTAGCCCTGTCACTGCAGACACTGTTCATTTTGATCCTCCAAGTGGGTCAACTCACAGGACTCTGCTGTTCCCCTTTTGTCGTAGTGCCTTGTGTTAATTGCGTTCCTCTCACTCACTGAAATCTTCAAATGGAGACTTACAAAAAGTCAGTGCATTAGCTATTCTTTCTGCTTTGGGAAAGTAATCAAAGTGTCACCATTGCTTAGCTCAGCTAAGCTGTGGCTTCTAACATTACACCAGTCCTAAATTGTTCTGTGGTTTCATTCAGGCTTATCTTCACAGCTTAGACTGTGCTGGAAAGAGGTGGTGCACTGCTTAACAGCAGCCAAGCTCAAATCCAGCAGATGGGCTGATGGAGTGAGCCATGAGGAGAATCACCATAAAAGCTATGGGATTCTTCTATTAAAAAAAAATCTAGATATATAGACACTAATGGTTTTGACTGCTCTATTAATTAAAAACATTATGTGATGGAGAGCATTCATGCCTGCACTCAGGAATTTTATTCCCTTTGCTGAGACTGCCCATATAAAATTATTCAGTACAAGGAGATCACTCTTTAATTGCAAGTATCTGATACACCGTGTTTAACCCAGAGCTGACCATGGTATCAGAATAATGAAAGTAAAAGAAAGAGGTTCCTTCTGGGAATTATTAAAAGAGCTGTTGCAATAACACAGAATATTCTACTGCACCCAGCAGGAGGATCCCTGAGGAACCCATTACTGCGGATGTGCTGACATGCTTCAACTGCTGGAGACACAGCTCAAAATTCATCCCAGACTGCAGCACTTCTCTTTCTTCTCCCTGCTCCTGCAGGGCAATCTTTAAAATGCCTTTCCACGCACACAATAAATGCTTCCCAGGCCTCTTTTCTGTCACTTTCCCCTTTTAATTCCTTCCTTAAGGCTCTGCTGCCTTCCCTGTACAATCTGCCTATTCCTTGACTGCAGAAGCCTTTATGTGTGAGACACATCTTTTTCGCAACTCTAAGTGAAACGTCCCACTTGAGGCACAGGCACACTGGGGTTGGTCTTCAGAATTTCTTGCTCCGAGCCTTACAAGATACTTTTTGCCCTGCTCTCCTACTTTCCTGGTATCAGGAGGTCTTGGAAAAAATAACAAATTCCACACAACCAGGGCTTTTAACTTCAGTTTTGCACATGGTAGCCGAGGGCAGGTAGCGCAGAGTCTCAGATAAAGAGAGGTGATGCTCACTCTCTGCTTACTGGTGTGAATCCTGCGCAGCAGCTCCTCAGTCTTTCTCTGTTTCTCCACTCCTTGCTCTTCTTTCCTCAGGACCAGGGGTGGTGACACAGTAATGGGTACCTCCTGCACTGACAGCTTCTGAATTTTCTCTTGTCTCTTCCCCTCCCTGGAAAGTGAACGTACAGATGCAATTATATAGGATCTAATAATCTTTTTGGCCAGTCCTAAGAGAATCACCTCTACAGCTTAGAAAGTTGCTGATTATTTAACTTGGCCTTCTTAAAAACTGACTCTGTAATGGTTTGGGGTCCCAGAGATTAAACAGTCTGAGCATTTCCAAAATATAGCAGGCAGAAGAAAATAGTAAAGCATTTCAGTAAAGATTTCACTAAAGCACTTATATGAGAAGGTTTAGGATCTCAGGACTGCCTAAGTAAATAAATGGCATCCCTAAAACTAACACCTCTGTGACAATCCAAGCTCAGCAAAAGGAAAAAAATTGTCTCTGCAGAATTCTCAGCCAAGAATGCTCTTTATTCTCTCATAGCAGAGGAAGTATTGCAAATGCTAGACTTTCAACAGACTATTTTTTCTTTTACTTTTTTCTGTGTACTGGCTTCCATGCTGCATTAGACACTAACAAGGCTGGATGCCACCACGGAGTTCATGGAGAGAATCTTTGGCGGTGCAAACACACTCCTGCTTTGTGATTCAGTGCACATACTGGTAATGGCTGAGGGGAGGATAACAGTATCTTTAGCCCATCTTCCCACTGTGATAAACTCTGCCACTGATGTTGGTAACAAAGGACTAAAAGGTTTTGAGATGGGTTTTTGACAAGAGAAATAACAGCTGTTTCTTTGGTAACACCACTACTCTTATGTTTAACAAAAGGAGCTGATAAGTGTTCTTCATTCTTTCCCTGCCTCCCTCTCCTTCTTACATTCTCCATGCTTCTGCCACAGTGAGCCTCTTCTCAGCCATTTCCTTTCGCAGCTTCACCATTTCCCTCTGGATCTCCTCCTCCTCCTTCTTGGCCTTCAGGGCCTTCCTTCTATCCTCCTCCTGTGCTCGGAGCTTGGCCTCAGACAGAATTGCTTTCTTCAGGGACTCTTCTTGTCTCTGAAGCTCTAATGCCTTCTGACGCCTCATTCGGTTTTCTTTCACCTGGGAAGGAGGACATCGACAAAAGCAAACAGGAAAGGCTGCAGAATTTGAGGTTCATTGTACACTGAGAGGGTGGGTCACAATCCACCCTTCACATGAAGCAAGCAACCCTATCCATAGCTGGCACTGACTGGAGACATACTGCTCTCAGAGCAGAAAACAATCCATTCCAGAGAGTGACATTAAACCAGTATTACTTGATGGGAGCAAACTCAGAACTAACTGCTGTGGCAGCTTTTTTTGTCAGTCTTCAGGAAGGGGGTAACCTGAACAGATGTAGTAGAAGATGACTGTGTAAGCTACTGTTGAATGGCTAATATGTCCATGGAAATGCAGTAATGTTTCAGCTGAACTGTGGAAGAGTATCCTTGGGTATTTGCCTCCAAGTCAGAGATTATTGCAGTCTGGGAGAGAATAGTGGGCAGGTATCACTGAGCATTTACTGTAATCCTATAACCCTCCATCTTATTCCTTTTAACTCTGCTGCCTTGCCTGCTCACCTGCTTGTGTCTGAGCTCCATGATTATTCGTGGATCTGCAAGTTTTTGTTTTTCTTTGATGTCTTCAAGTCTAAGATGTTTCGTTATCCCACAGTTCACATCTTCACTCTGCAAAAGATGCTGTAGGTATTTCTGGACAGAAGAACTTTCCATTTCACGTTCCAGATAGCTGCACAAGTCTGAAATGAGAAGTTCAGATTATCTCAGGCTAGTCTGAAATGAATAAACCCCTCTGTGTCAGATCACAAAGCCTAATGTAATTAAAGGGATCACTTCCCCAGACTGAATGCATTCCTGATGAACACAGACACACTGACTGCACTCCATTTATCCCCAGTCATAATCAGTCTCCCATTGAATGGGCTAGAGCAGTAACAATGTTTCATTCAATTTTCACTGCCTTGCCTCTGAGCATCTCAGACGGCTGTATAAACTTGACAGGCCTCAAAAATACCCGTTCAAAAAAGAAAAAAAAATTCTTTTACAAAGGGAGACATTGAATGTTTATGAGGTGCAATTGTGCAGCCTTACAGCAAGCTGCCGTAATAACTGGGGGAGAAAAATCACCACATCTAATCTTGTTTCTACCGAGTCCACTGTCCTGGCCTCAAAACAGCTCAGTGTGACAAGCCAGGAGACTCAGCCCCCCTCCCCAGCACATCCTCAGAGAGGAAATCAGGAACTGCTTTGCAGTGCTCTCACCATCAAACTGCTCAGACTTTGGAGGGGCTGCAGAAGGCACTTCCAGAAGGACAGAGTTAACTTCATCTTCTCCATCACTCAGATCCAGCTGCAGTTTGGACTTCATCCAGTTCCTGAGCAGCTCTTGGGCTATCATGAAGGAAGACACTGATGACTTCACTTGCTTAAAAAATATATGGATAAGTGTAAGCTAGCAAGACTCTGTCTCTGGAATAGTTATATAACATGTTGGGAATAACTAAAAGCTGATCTGCAACAGAAAATGAAATAAGGCTTATAGTTCTGCTCTCATCTTGATCTGTAAAAGAACTGGAAGAGAAGGTGGCAAACTTTCTGCCTGTCACGCATGTCAGATATGAACTCTTCTCCACTTCATTTTCTCTACAAGATTCTGTGGACATTTAGATCACTGATGTGATTATTATAGCATTTATCAAGGAGATGGGATTCACATGAGGTAATTCATAACTCAGATAGCTTTCACGTTTTACCACTGTACTCGCAGACACTTAGATCTATTTTCCACATGTACAACCACGGTTGCCATATGTTAAATACAAAAGAACCACTGTTTGGACAAACATTTGCTTCATGTGTACAAGTTAACCTTTGCAAGTACCACAGCTCGAGGAGCAACTGGTGAGTCTAGATTACAAATCTGTCAGGTGGCAAGCTTCAGCTGGGGCTACCTGTACTCAGAATTAAGACTGAGTGCACCCATGATGGATGTGGTACTCCTCAGTGAGCTCAAATACCTAACAAACAACTGGGAATAAAATTCTTCTATGGACTACTTGCATCTCCACTCTTCTGTGGGAAAACACAATATTCCTTTTTCAGAGTTTCTACTCAAAAGCAAGGACAGCTGCCTATCTGCTGCCTCAACAAACCACCTGGCCTTGCTGCACGGGTGGCCAAACTGCTCCTGAAGCAGAATACAGGGCTGTAAACTCAGGAGCAGCCCCCCGAGAAGCAGAGCCATCCTGAGCTATCCATGGTGAGGATGGGCAAAGAGCCAGGATCAGCAGCCACTACAGTGCGAGTCATTCCCTGTAAAGGCACACAGTCAATAGACAGGAGGAAGCAGCTGCTCCAAATCTCCAGTTCTAATGCAAAGTGAAGATGTTCCCTGGTATTTCTAAGGCAATAAAGCCTTTTTCAAATTTTCTTAAAAAAGGATGGTTTTTTTTGAAGAAAACATAAATCTAATGTTTATTGTCCTTCAAATCACCTTTATTATCTCTCAGGCCAGCTCACGAACAGGGAAATATATCTGATAACAGAAAGAAGAGAGAAAAACAACTTGGCACTTGGGGAAGGGTTACTCTTTTGACTAGAGAACAGTTCATTTTAGACAGCTTGTGGCAAGCAGAATTTTAGCTCACCTTCCTCACAGGCCTCGTCATGATCTTGCAGCTGTTCCATGGTTTCCAAACTTGTTACAGGACCCCCAAGACCCCTGTGGATAGCTTGACTTTTGATGGGAAAAAGCTTCAGAGACAGCTTGGTCCACTCTTTAAATTGAAGAAAGGAAAACATTTCTAAGTGTTGCTGCAGATTAATTTTGACATTTCCCATATCCATGTTTCTCCTCCAGAGATAGCAAACATCAGTGGGAATGTAACATAAGATAGCACAGCTGTTATAGATTTCTTTTGAAACATGTTTCTCTGATTGCTCAATTGACTGGATAAATTTGACTTAGAAGTCATTAAGCAATAAACACTCATTAGGCAATTACTGTCAGTCACAGAGGTTGGAGAACACACAGGGAGAATGCAAACACCCAGCCCCTGACTGGATGGAGACTTGCTGAGCTAGTCCCCAGCAACCAGCAACTATGAAATTTGATACCAGCTTTTTGTCATAGCCAGGCTGGTCACTGTAAAAATACTCTGAGAGACTGTCCAATATTCATCTCTCTGAGATGTAAATGGTCCTGATGTGTCACTGTGTTTTCACATGCAACACCTGTACCCCGGACAGTCTGTACTTCTGTGTAACTCCTTCCCTTTTGTGTGGCTGCCAGAGGCCTGGGATGCTGCCTGTGGAGGCAGATGCACACTCACACCTGCCATAAGAAGCAGGCTGAGGGTGGGAGCGTGGGTGTGCTGAAGAAAGCAAAACAAAGGGAAGTTCACCCTAGAATTCTCTTTCTTTGATGTCAGGTGGTTGTAGATGCAGGAGATGGTGCTTTAGGGTAAATCTCTAGTATTACTTGCCCGTACAACCTTCAGTACTGCTCAACAGCAAGTTTTGTGTGTTGACCCATGAGTTTTTTGCATAGCAACAAGATACCTTACTCTTCATAGAGTTTGGGTTGGAAGGGACCTTTAAAGGTCATCTAGTCCAACCTCCCCACTGTGGGCAAGGACATCTTTGATAACACCAAGTTGGATGGGAGTGTTGCTCTACTCGAGGGTAGAAAGGCTCTGCAAAGGGGTCTGGACAGGCTAGATCGATGGGCTGAGGCCAATGGTATGAAGACAACATGGCCAAATGCTGGTTCCTGCCCTTGAGTCACCCTAGGCATTGCTACAGGCTTGGGGCAGAGTGGCTGGAAACCAGCCCAGTGAAAAAGGCCCTGAGGGTGCTGCTTGAGAGATGGCTGAACATGAACCAGCAGTGTGCCCAGGTGGCCAAGAAGGCCAATGGCATCCTGGCCTGTATGAGAAATAATGTGGGCAGCAGGACCAGGGCAGTGACTGTCCCTCTGTATTCAGCACTGGGGAAGCCACATCCCTAGTCCTGTGGCCCAGTTCTGGGCCCCTCCATTCAGGAAAGCATTGAGGTGCTGGAGCATATCCAGGGCAATAAGGCTGATGAAGGGTCTGGAGGCTAAGCCCTATGAGGAGTATCTGAAGGAGCTGAGATTGTTTAGCCTGGAGAAAAGGAGGCTCAGAGGGACCTTATCACTCTCTACAACTACCTGAAAGGAGGTTGTAGCCAGTTGGGGTCGGCCTCTTCTCCCAGGAAACAAATGACAGGATAAGGGGGAACAGCCTCAAGTTGTGCTATGGGAGATTTAGATTGGATATTAGGAAAAATCTCTTCACTGAAAGGCAGGAACAGGCAGTGGAACAGGCTGCCCAGGGAAGTGCTTGAGTCACCATCCCTGGAAGAGTTCAAGAACCGTGTGGATGTGGCACTTGGGGACATGGTTTAGTGGTAAACACGGAGGTGCTGGGTTAACGGCTGGACTTGATGATCTTAGAGGTCTTTTCCAACATTAATGACTCTGTGATCTTCAACCACCTCAGGCTGCTCAGAGCCCCTTCCAACCCGACTCTGAATGTTACCGCTCAAGTTACTCCACCTCGACTCCACCACTCTTCCGCGCTACCAGCCCCAAACCTAGGCAGGAGGATAAGAAACACAACAGCGTTCCAACCACCCGTCTCCCTTCCTGAACCCAAGTTTAAACGCTGCCAACTTTGGCGCCGTTCGCTCGAGCCCTGCGCGGACTTCACACCCCACCCCCCCCTGCGCAACCCCCCCGCCGGCAAACCTCACTGCCGCTGCTTGGGAAACCTCACCCCTGACCCTGACCCTGCCGTGCCGGGATGCCAGGGGACCATCCCGCCCCCGGCGCTCCCCCCGAGCCGTGCCCCCGTTACCTCCGGGAGGCGCCGCCAGCGGAGCAGCGGCGGCCGCTGCCCGGCCATGGCAACGGAAAGGGCGGCGCCGGCGCTCGGCGCCCGCTGATGACGCCCGGCGCGGTGGGAAGGGAGCTCCGCGCTGCCTGCGGTCCCGGGCGCTGCCGGACCGAGGATGAAGATGAAGCTGCAGCTGCTCGGGGCGGGCTGCGGGCGGCTGGGCACGCTGGCGGGGCTGGGCAGGAGCGGGGCTGGGGCGCTGGCGCTGCCGGGCTGCCTGCTGTACACGCGGACCGGCTCGGCGCCGCACCTCACCCACGACACGCTGCGGGAGGTGCGCGGAGTGCCCGGCGTGGCGCAGCTGCCCCTGCCCGCTCTGTGAGTACCGCGGGATGGGGGGCGCGGGGAAGCGGCGAGCTCGGGGGTCCCTCTGCTGCTTCCCTGTCGAAGGGAGGTGCAGGGGCGCGGTGGGAAAGGCGAAGGTGAGGGAGCTGCAGGGCCGCGTGGCTTTTAGTGTGTTTAGGCCAAACCCGCGGTAGTGACTTCACAGCCGTCTTCCCATCTCGGCCAGCAGGTCGAGGGAGATGATTCTCCCCCTCTGCTCTGCTCTGGTGAGACCCCACCTGGAGTACTGCATCCAGCTGTGGGGTCCCCAACATAGGGAGGACATGGACCTGTAGGAGTGAGTCTAGAGGAAAGCCTTGAAGATGATCAGAGAGCTGGAGCACCTCTCCTGTGACAACAGGCTGAGAAAAGCTGGGACTGTTCAGCCAAGATAAGAGAAAACTCTAGAGAGACCTCCCAGCCTCCCAGTACCTAAAGAGGGCATATAAGAAAACTGGGGAGAAACTTTTTAGCAGGGCTTATCCTGACAGATAATGGTTTAAAACTATAAGAGGGTAGGCTAGATATAAGGAAGGAATTTTTTACAATGAGACCAATGAAACACTGGAACAGGTTGCCCAGATTGGTGGCAGATGCCCCATTCTGGAAACATTTGAGGTAAGATTGAACCAACAGTTGACTCTCAAAACTAGTTAGGTAAGTGGAAACTGGAAGGAAAGATTAACATCATAAAGCTTGTTAGAAGCTCTCCTGTCCCTGGTTGTGCTGTTGCTGAATGATGCACATTAGTGATGCTACCCAAGAAGTCACACTGGGGCTGCGTGTTCTCCAGCAAGTCAGTGGGCACTGGTCAGTGCAGGTAAAAGTTCTACCTGTTTGCCACAGAATTATGAGTGCCCTAGGTTGTGGGCTATGATTCTTGAGCTCCATGTCTCTGGAATTCAGTTCTATCTATCCCTGCTTTACTGCCTGATAGCTGGATGGCAGAAATCAGTGCTTGACCAATCCAGTTAAGCATAAGTATGGAAACAGAAGCCTTACTTATGAAACCACTGATCTTTTTTGATAATGTCTGCTTAGTTAATGTATTTCTGTATCTGGATTGCAGGGCAGAAATTCATGATGTCCTGGAAGAGTATAAAGAAGGAGCTGCAAAATTTATAGGTAAAGTGCATGTGTTTGCTTGTATGTCTGGAGAGAAAATGTAGGTGTATCCCACTAGAGCATGTTCAGGCAGTACAGTAGGCAGAAAGATGGAGGTACAGACTTTCCACATTTAGGCATTTTCTCACTCAGAGTGTCACTAAGGAAGACTTGAAATAGTATGTTGACATTGGTATGGTCAGAAATCCTTCTGGCCAATAGTATGGCCAAAAATCCTTCAATCGGTGTACAAAAATAAGTAGTTTTGCTTTTTTCCCCTCTTTTTCTGCACCCAGCCTTCTCCTTGCAGGCTTCAGCACTGACTGGGGTGGACTTAGCCCAAAAGTTGAGACTAGGACTGAGAGTGGTTTCACTGTAGCCCCCAATCACTGCTGCAAATGAGTCTTGCCAGGTGCAATTTCTGGCTTCTTTTATGAGGAGAATGAGAAACTTTCATTAAAAGGGCCTTCCCCATACAGCTTCTCAAATACATTTCCTGTCTTTTTTGGTTCCCTTTAACCAAAAAAGATTGATTTCAGCTAAAGATTTCCAACAGGAAATCTTAATGCAGTATGAAGAATGAACAGGTAAAGCACCCACATCAAATCAATCTCAGCTGGTGGACACTTCTGTCTCTGAGCTGTTTCTGTTCTGAGAATATGTTAGGGGGAAGGACCCATGTTGGATTTGTGGGAGCTTTGAGGAACTAAAGAAGCAGGTGGAGAAGCTCATTTCCCCCCTATTCTTTGTTCCTGTCTGTTTAGCGTTTGGACTGTACTTGCTCCCTGTATTCTTCTTCCACTTTTCCATCTTAATGAGTCAATTTTAAGAATTAACTGAATTTTATTTATGGATAGTCATATGAAAAACAGTCAGTGTTGCCACATCCTTTGGCTACTGCGCCAAGCCTTTGTGATGTTCATCAGTCCCTGTACTCCATTCTTGGAGCAGCTCCTGAATGGAATCTTTGCCTTAACACCTTGATGATATGAATGAGTAAAGCAGCAGTTCCTGTGTTTGCAACTCTCCTGGTTTTTTCCTCTGATTGTCACAAGAGATCAGTAAAGGCCTGACCCTGTGCAGCTCAGATCGCTGGTGTCAGGCTCATGTGGCAAAGGACCCTGAATGCACAGTGAGTGCAGGGTTGGCCTCTTGTGTGAATATGTGTATCATAGACTGTATTTATATCTGAGGAGGCAGCTCAGAGGACTGGAGGATTATCTGCCAAGACAACAAGTTTCTCTAGGATGCTTTTTCTGGGTATCTCAAGTTATACTTGGGTATGGAGTATGGGGTAAGTCTTATGAAATTGATGATGTGTCCGTAATTTCTATAATTTACAGACAATTCTTTGTGTATGGAATATAGCAGACTTTGCAAGAAAAAAAATCCATGTTGATAGTGTGCTTTTTTTTTAAGCACATAAAAATTTGAGACATACATTTTATTATATAAACGAAGTTATGGTTTGCCTTTCCAAAGGAAGTTTGCACCCAACTCTCAGTAAACTTCGACTGCTTTGGGGCAACTTATTCCTTCACGAAAAATTGAAGAATCTTTTTATCTGAAACTTCTTAGAGGCTTTACCAATTTCAGTGACTATCTGTGAAGAGAAGACTGTCATTGAGACATACTGTCTAGCTTTCTGACATTTGAAGCCTCCAGTCTTGCAGGGGTGATATATTTCTCATTTTTGTAGCTGATACATTCTCTCAGTATTCTATTCTTTACTATGAGGATGATGAGGCACTGGAACAGATTGCCCAAAGAAGTTGTGGCTACTCCATCCCTGGAAGTATTCAAGGCCAGGTTGGATGGGGCTTTAAGCAACTTGGTCTAGTGGAAAGTGTACCTGCCCATGAGACAGGATCTTTCAGGTCCCTTCCAACCCAAACCATTCTATGATTCTGTATGTCCTTCCTTAAAAGTTCTAGGCTTGGGGTTGTTGCTCAGTTTAGATTGTGTCAAATGTCAGATGTCTTTAGTATATCAATTGAGTGGTCAAGTGAGTCAGCTGTTGGGTCTAGAAAATTTTAGTAGGTAAAGTATTAATCAAGAAGAAACAGAAATAAATCTCAAGGGAGCTATGTAGTTTGCAGAACCAAAGGGTATTATTTCATGGTTTGTCCTGATGCTGCGCTCTTCTCCCTGCAGATAGTAAAACTGAGGAAGAAGTCTGCCTTCTTTGATGCTGAGATATCAAATGATCAATATTTTCTTTGTCAGAATGGCTGTATTTGTGTGGGGGAGAATACCCTATTCCCTTTTGCAAATTGACAAGCCTCATCTTTGCATTAGCTTTGCTTTAGTTCGTGAAACTCTACTCCATGTCTGTCTCTCTGCTCCCAGGTATGCCAGATGCTGTGCTGTACTGCTCCCTTCATGACCCAGTCAGTCCCTGTCCATCTGGCTACAACACCAACAAGGTACAGTAGCTGTAAAGACTTGAAAGGGTCCACCTAAAGTTCTCAAGAGAAAGCTGCCAGTCCCTTCATCTCTGTGGGTGTGCTCAGACAGCCACAAGATTTATTTTTCTAATCTTTGCACAAAGAGGAATGTCATTTACATGCTCCTACCTACAACTAAATAAAGCCGTACATGTTCTTACTTGTCAGCATGTTCCCTGAACAATTCCCGAGCAGTTAAGTGGCAATTTAGATAGAAAGGAGAGCTCTGTCCTCCCATGCTGTTGTGGTTAATATGGTAGTAAAGAAAATACCTGTCTTTTAGTGTATTTGCTGTACCAGCTTACAGTGATGTCACTGATAAGCAATGAATCTGAAACCCTGTGTGTGTATTTAGTCTGCTACAGGCCCACAAAGGAGAAGAACTTATAATTTTCACAGGAGAGTGGCTCAGAAATCCAGGAGTGCATAGTCCTGCAGGCATTTTCCTGTTCCATCCCACAGGCACATTCCCCATGCCATCCACACGCTACCTGCCACAACTTTGTCCTGCAGGGGCCACTTCTGGCACCTGCTCAGATCCAGTCAGTCTCAAGGCTTGTTTGGGTATGGTCACATTTGGTGAAAGGTGACTGAAGGACAGAGGATAACTCCTGCCATTCAGCTATCAATATATATTCTTTGCTGCTGGGAACCAGGCTGAGTCCTGCCTCTTTGCAGGGAAGGAATTATCTGAAGCTTGTCCTACCATTGTGCACCTATGAGGTGATAGCAGCAATCTAAGCCTGGGTGTTGCAGGTTTGATTCAGCTTTTTTTTTTTTTTTTAAATAAGCTGGTGAAGATATTTGTCACCTTGTTACAAGGCCTTCTGCAGCTGAATCTGTACTGACAAATGCTTATGATAGATTTTTGAAAGCAATGGGACAGAAAGCTCTGGTTCTGTGCCAGAAAGTCTAGCACGGGCTGGATTTAAATAATCACACGATAATGCTCAGTTCTCTAAGCTGCATTGCTATTTTATTTATTAAAGCCGCTTTTTTCCTCTCGAGATCAGAATGAAGGTAACTAGATGTGATTACACTCTGCCCTTTGGCTCAGACAGTTCTGACTTTCCTCTGCCTGCCTTCACCAGCTGTTCCTCAATGCTCTCACAATAAGAGGCAGCAGGTACTATCTGATCAACATGCTG